TATAAATCTATACCTTGCCATGTGGCTGGTGGCTTACCAGTGTCTTTACATGCTGCTTGTCCTGGTGGTGGCTGCAGTGTCTCTCCCCCCTTCTTCCTATTTCCCCAATTCTCCTCTCTCCTTGTCCTGCCTATATTTCCTGTCTGGTCACTGGCCATCAGTGTTTTATTTATATAGAGCAATATCCACAGTACTTCCCCTTTTCTTTTTTGTTAATTTAAGATATAAGAACAGTTAGCAAAAAGCCTGCCATGACCATACAGTTTATAAGTAATATAAATGTCTAAATGATTATTTTATATGTGGATTGTGGGACTGTGTGGCTTGGTGGAACCTGGAGAGAAGCTCTCCAACAACACTAAACATTTAGGAAAATATGTTTAGTCATGGAAGGTCATTAGTGAGATAGACTTTTAGGTAAAATATTTTCACCAGTCATTTTGAAGTAAAGCAATATTCTTTAAATTCAACAACAAACATCTGAATTACTTGTGTAAAAGACTTGCTTTGTATCACTCAAAGTAAACTTTAGTCCTATTTGATTTCCTGAATTTGTTTTTTGTTTAGAAGTAATATGCTTATTGTCTTTCTTTACTTCATCAAATATTGAATTTTTTCTTTAAAAATGAGATTTAGGAACACTGAATAAAGGTACAGCTAAATAACAGCACTTCAAAGATTAACATATGCTTTTAGAAACATGAATTTAGAAAAATATTTATTTTTTTGAATCTTCATTCAACTATCACAATGTGAAATAGTATGAAAATCAGCTTACTCTTGTTTAATGTAATATTTAAAATTAGATAGAAGTCCTAGTTCCTTCATGTACTTACAGTCAGTATTAAAATAACCAGTGTACTTTTATTCTATATTGGCTTATTGTGTGTTAGGGCAATCCTCTATCTCACAGGATGGTATATTTCTCTACACAGATTAGGAAAATGACTATTTTCTTACCACACTCTTCCTTTTAATGAGTTGCCAATGATCTAGGAGCAACTACTTTAGGTAGCCATCTTAAATTTAAGAAGTAGATGTAAGGAAGGGGATAAAGGCAGAGCAACATTTTGTTTCTTGAGTCGGGAGAAGCCTCTGCTTCCCAGGGTCACCACCCTAAATTACTAATTCCTGGTCTTGAGGGCTATGTGGGCTTTGTGGACCTTAGGGGAGGCTCACTGGAATATTTCTTTGGTGTTACCATCAATACTTTTGAATCTCTGACTTCTCCATTTTTCTTGTTTGTCTTTCCAAAGAATTTTCAAGGTATTAATATTTGTGGTTTTGGTTGCTTCAATTAAAGGGTGTATTCATACATGACAGGAATGCAAATACAAGATGATATATTGTTTATTAAAATATATTTGCATAAACTGTTATCGATGATGATAAAAACACTAGATTTTAGACTGTTATGAGAATAGATAGTAATTTTCAATTGGCAAACATTTTGATTTTTGTATAAACTTTCAGAAAACTCAAATTAGGTACTTTTTCAATGATTTTTTTCACAGTTTAGAGTGATCAGAATTCTCAGATATGAATGTTACAAGACCTTTAATCCCTGTGGGTTATTTTGAAATCTTCCTGCTAGATATTCAGATTACATTTCTAATTATTATGAGATGATAATAGATAACAAATTCTTCAAATTGACAGAAATAATATCATAGTTTTTCACAGAATAACTTTTGTTCATAGCTTACCATTTACAGCCTGAAATTTTTATGTATTTTAGTATTATGGTTTTTAAAGCTTATATTTCCATATTAAAGGTATTATTCTTTGGCTTTATCTTAATAAGTTTCTTATTTATTTATTAATTTATTTTTAATTTTTCAAGACAGGGTTTCTCTGTGTAGCTTTTGTGCCTTTCCTGGAACTCACTCTGTAGTCCAGGCTGGCCTTTAACTCACAGAGGTCCGCCTGCCTCTGCCTCCCGAGTGCTGGAATTAAATGTGTGTGCCACCACTGCCCGACAAGTTTATTTTTAAAATTATGGTATGAAATATACAGCATCTTTTAGGTTAAGTATTTTTCTTTTACTTTCTTGTAATTGAAATCACACCCTTCATACTATGCATTTCAGATAATATATTCAACTATAAGAGTAATTAAACTTAAAAACTTCTCTGAAATAGAAAAAATCATTACAATAGAAAATTAGCCGGGCGGTAATGGCACACACCTTTAATCCCAGCACTCGGGAGGCAGAGGCAGGCGGATCTCTGTGAGTTGGAGGCCAGCCTGGGCTACCAAGTGAGTCCCAGGAAAGGCGCAAAGCTACACAGAGAAACCCTGAAACCCTGTCTCGAAAAACCAAAAAAAAAAAGAAAAAGAAAAAAAAGAAAATTAAGGATTCATAGAGTCCCCTCTGCTGCATGCAAGCAGATGTACAACATCTTTAAGGTACTGCACTCAACTTTATTTAATTGGGCTTTTGTAAAAGTGTTCAGGTACTCACTATCATTTAGTAAAGTTTTATTAATTACCTTTCTTATAACTCTGTTGACCAGGTTGCAATATTTCACATAATAAAAATATATTATTTTGAAGAAAACTGGTTATAACAATTAGTTTATTTATCATATATATATATATATATATATATATATATATCACTGTATTTTAAGTGTTACTAATGCACTTTAAAGAAGTAAAGAAATCATAATAGTTTTCAATTTCATTTTGCAACATAATTTTTTATTTCATGAAATTACTTTAGATATTTTACTTATATATTCAATTCTTAACTTCCTATTTAATGCATTCATTTATAACCATATGTAAATATATATACATATATGTATATTTACATTTGTATACACACACACACACATATATAGTAACTTTGGGTTACCTACATACATAACAAATTCAAAGTTAATATATACTTTGAAATTGTTTTCTTGAAATTGTTATAAACTCTCTGAAAATATTACTGAAAGAATTTTATAACATTATTAGGGTCAATATTTATTTTAGGAATCATAACATTTTTAGATTAAGGTGAAGTTTCTCTGAAAAGCTTAGACTAGTTAAAAATTTTAACTATTAGCCGGGCATTGGTGGCGCATGCCTTTAATCCCAGCACTCGGGAGGCAGAGCCGGGTGGATCTCTGTGAGTTCGAGGCCAGCCTGGGCTACCAAGTGAGCTCCAGGAAAGGCGCAAAGCTACACAGAGAAACCCTGTCTCGAAAAACCAAAAAAAAAAAAAAATTAACTATCATTTGAATTATTAAATAACAATGTCAAAACCTCATGCTTTCAATGCATCAGTTTTTATGCAAGTATTAGACTGTTTATTATTATGGCTCTGTGGTATAACTTTAAATCAGGGATGGTGATACTCCAAGCAGTTCTTTCATTGTTCAACTTGGTCTTGGCTTGTGTGTGTGTGTGTGTGTGTGTGTGTACATGTGCGTGCGCATGCATGCATGTGTGTTTGTATGTATGTGTTTCTATCTAAAATATTTTTTCAATTTCTGTGAAGAAATGTATTTGAATTTTGATTGTGTTGAATTTGTAGGTTGCTTTAGGTAGAATGGACATTTTCACAATATTTACCCATCTGGCCAGATTTTAGGACAACTTGACACAAGCTAGAGTCATCTGAGAAGAAGGAACCTCAATTGAGAAAATGGATCTATAAGATGGGTCTGCAGGCAACATTATAGTGCATTTGTTAGTGATTAATGTGGGAGGTTCCAGTCCCTTTTGGCTGGGGGCATCTCTGGGGTGGTGTTCCTGGTTTCTGTAAGAAAGCAGGCTGAGCAGGCCAGGAAGAGCAACCCACTAAGCAGCACTGCTCCATGGCCCAGTATTAGCTTCTACCTCCAGGTTCCCATCTGGATTTGAGTTACTCCTTCCTGCCTCGACTTCCCTCACTGAACTATGATGTTTCATCAGAGTAATAGAAGCCATAATTAAGACATAGACTGGCCGGGGAGATGGCCCAGCACTAGCTGCTCTTCCAGAGGACCTGAGTTCAATTCCCAGCACCCACATGGCAGCCCACAGCTGTCTGTAATTCCAGTTCCAGGGGATCTTCATACCAATGCAAATAAAATAAAATAAATTAAAAAAAAGACATAGACCATTAATAATGAGAGTCATTGAATAGGTTTTATCAATTCTTATTTTCTTTTTGTGGTGTTGTTTTCTTATTTTGAAGAACTACTATGGAATTGTTTATTCTTTACACCTTCCTTTGTATGCTTAATATTCTATTTAAACAGAATTATTACATTTTTTATAGATATGGCTTATAAATTCCTTAAATAGTTTTTTTTTTCTGCCATAGATAGTTTGATAGGTTTTCTGGGTGTAGCAGTCTAGCTTGGCATCTATGTTTTTTCAGAACTTGTAGACCATTAGTCTAGGTCTTGCTTGCTTTCAAAGTCTTCATTAAAAAAATCAGGTGCTATCCTTATAGGTTTGCCTTGATATGTAAAGGGGTCTTTTGTTATTTTATTTTGCAGTTTTCAATAGTGTAGCTAGAGAGTTTTCTCTCTGGGTCCCACCAAGCCCTGGCAGTCCAACAGCCCACTTATAAAATATGGTGATATTTTAATTGTACTGAAATGTGATTATATTTGTATGTTAATAAATGAAGTTGCCCGGGGGTCAGAGCTAATAGTAAGCCATAGCAGAAACTGGGCGGTGGTGGTGCATGCCTTTAATCCCAGCTCTTGGGCGGCAGAGCTAGGATCTCTGTGTGTTCAAGAATACAGCCAGCATGGAGACACATGCCTTTAATCTCAATACCAACCGTACAGACCTGGAGATCTGTACAGACAGGCAGTGATGAGGATGTGGTTGGGTTTACAACCAATGAGAAGACAGAATAGAAAGTCTATAAAAAAAAGACAAACAGACAGGAAGTATGTCTCTTGCTGAGGAAGATAGTGGTGGCAGTGAAGGGTAAGGTTTTTAGCTCTTAGCTATCACTCTGACCTCTTGGGCTTTCATCTTTGCATTGTCTTTGTGTTTCTTATTTAATAAAATGATTACATCTACACACTTATATTATTTATAAACTGTATGGCCATGGCAGGCTTCTTGCTAACTGTTCTTATATCTTAAATTAACCCATTTCTATAAATCTACACTTTGCCACATGGCTTGTGGCTTACCGGTGTCTTCACATGATGCTTGTCATGGCGGCGGCTGTGAGTGTCTCCCTTACTCAGCCTTCCACTTCCCAGAATTCTCCTCTCTCCTTGTCCCGCCTATACTTCCTGCCTGGCCACTGGCCAATCAGTGTTTGATTAATACAGAACGATATCCACAACACAATAGCCTTTCTTTGTTTTGTGCATTTAGAGTTTTGATTATTAGGTGATGTGAGAAATTCCTTTTCTGGTCTTGTGTATTTGTCATTTTGTATGCTTTTTGTATCTTGACAGGCATCTCTTTTCATTGGATTTGGGGAATTTTCTTCTATAACTTTGTTGAAAATATTTTCTGTGACTTTCATCTAAGTTTCTTCTTCTATACCTATAATTTGTAGGTTTAGTCTTTTTTATAGTATCTGAGAATTTATTCATTTCTATCTTTTAATGTAATATTTTTTTGACTGAGAGAATCAGGTCTTCTACCTTGTCTTTAAGACCCAACAGTCTCTCTTTTCTTTGATCCAATTCATTGGTGAAACTTTCCTTTGAGCTTTTTGTTTGAGTTGCTGAGTTTTCCATTTCAATTTTTATTTCACTTTTTCTTTTCTTCAGAGTTTCTATCTTTTTATTAAATTCTATTTTCATATTTTCTTATTTTATTCAATTGCTGTGGCTTTGGTCTCCATTCCGGCATTTTTTTTAATCCTCTGAGTTTAGTAGTCATTGACTTGTGCATCAGCCAAGTTGTTTTTTTCAGGGAACATTATGATAAAGGTGCTAATTTCTGGAGGCCTTGTAGGTATACTGGTTTTGGAGTTCTGTACCTGAGGTCCTGGATATCAGGACTCAATGTGGTTTTAGAGTGGCACAGTGGATGCATTGGTTTGAGAGAGGATGGACTGGCTCTGGAGAAACCCTATTTGCATTCCTGATTGCTTGTATTATAGGCACATGTCACCTTGATGTCTTAAGAATGGACTTTTAACACTAAATAAGAAGCACTGATTCATATTCTGTATCAACTAGAGGGATTCTAATCCACAGCAGGCAACTGGATTAAAGACCACATTAAAAGAATATGGAATATTCTTCTATGTATAGAAATATACAAATGAGAGAAAGATAGGATATATAGGAGAAAGCAGGCAGAAAATCAATACTAACATTTACAAATTAAATACATTTAAAGTAATACAAAGCTAATAAAGTACAAATCATCGTTATTGGTTTTTTTTTTTGAGACAGGGTTTTACTGTATAGCCTTGACTTGCCCAAAAACCAGTCTGTAGACCAGGGTGGCATTGATGTCACAGAGACCCTCTGCTTCCCTGGTGCTGGGAATAAAGGTGTGTGGCACCACTGCCCATTAATCACGTCTTAATAATTTTATATTTGAATAGTTGGAAAAATTTTTATATGATAAATATAAAAAGTTAGAGAAATAGAAAATTTTTGATGGATTCTTAAAGTTATTTAAAAGTTCTCTGTATTTTGTTCTATTTCCTAAATTATTTAGAATATGCGCAGCTTTGGAAAAAGAAGTAGAACAACTGGAGGCAGCTTTGTCTCTATGGAAATGGAATTATGAAGAGCTGGAAAAAATCCAAGATACCAAATGTGAGAGTGGTGTAGGGAGATTTGGTAGAAGGGAGCTCGGGAAGGCAGGGTTTCCTCTCTCTGGACATAGCATAAAGGGAACAAGTTCCAGGCTATACAGACAGGAAAATGGATGCTAAAAGATCAATCTCATCTAAAGGAAATCTTTGAAATCACTTACAAATGGTGAACTTAATAAAATCCAGAACAGGACACAGAAAACCTGGATCTAAATGATACTGGTTTCCTAGTTTTATTTTTTGTCTTTCCTACCCTTCCTTCTTTCTCTTTGGACTTTTGTGACAGGGCACATTCATTTTGTAGCCTACTGATCACAGAGTACTGACAGTTCTCCTAATTCAGCCTCCCAAGAGCTGACACTAGAAGCATGAGTGACTAGGTCCAGCTCTTTAGTTTCTTTTAAGTTTCTCTTGTAGAAGTTTGAGATGTACAACAGATGCTTTTGGAAACATACTAATGGTGAAATATTTAGTGGCCACAACTACATAAAATAATTAATCAGCCATTCTGGCCACCTAGGAAGGTGTTATCTTGTTGTTTTCTACCATCTGTTATAGAGTCTTTCATATTGATTTATGAAATTGTCTGAAAATATAAATTTATTTCAAGTGCATTCAATTATTCAGGAAAACTACTTGCTTTTATACTGTTATTTTTATTATTATCAATTAAATTCTGCCACTGACATTATTATAATATATTTACATTCAAGAAGTATAAACATGAAGATCTTGTTACTTATAATAGTATGTATAGAGCTAGAGATCATTATGGTAAATGAAATAAACCAGAGATAGAAAGAAAAGGACTTCAGGAACCTCATTCATAAATTTAACTAAAACAAAAAAATGACCTCATAGAAATTAAAAACAGAATAGTTATTATGGGATGATAGGAAGGATCAGTTGGGAGAAGGTTGTGCTCAGATGTGGAAGAGCAGTGAAGACTGGGAAATTCTGTGTGCTCTTCATAATATAGTGACCTTAGTGATGACAATGCAATGTCTGTCTGATAAGCTGGAAGGAGTAGAGCGAAGCAGCAGCTTAAGAGAACTGTGAACTTTAACTGGAAAGAAACCCACATGTATGTGTCATCTCTTGCCACTAGTGTGCAGTGCAGACCTGATAATGTTCTCCTTTCTCAAGCCCTTTTATTCAGTAACTTAACTTCTACATAACAGTCATTTTGGTGAAAAACTGTGGCTTTAAGTTGGTTTACAAAATGTATGTGTTTTTAAAAATATGTTTTCTCTTCAAGTATTATTTTTCAGTATCAAATCTGAAAATACACTCTAAATTTCTCTGACAAATATGAGAACAATAAAACAGTATTTTATAGTATGAATTGAGTCTATACTTGATGATCATAAATAGTTATATTTCAACATACATTTGTATAATATATTAATACATACTTGATGGTTTTATTAGTTGGTATAGTTTGCTTTTTAAAATAGTATATATGCAAATACCCTAAATTTTGTTTAACATCTGAACTACTAAAAATGCGAACTAATGATACTTAGCCACACACATTTATTTACATATTTGTTATTTTTTCTAATGTATCATAACAAAATGTAACCAAACAATGATTTTATACTATATGTAGAAATGTATTGTAGAGTTACTGGAAATGAAAATACAGTGGGTCACCACTCAGAAGTAAGAGAAATAAAGAAATAAATTGGAATCTTCATATAAATTACACTTTCTTCATTCCTTTCTCCTAAAATCTTCAGGTAATGCTTTGTCTTTCACCATAGCTCTTTATATAAGGAAATCTCAGAACGCAAACATAAAATTTAGATGGTTGAAATTCCTAAAGCAAATATGTGCCCTGTGGCCATATTTTATTTGTGCTTTAACAAATAATGGGGAGAAGGTTTTTATTGTAGATGAGAGAGAGAAAGGAGGGGAGAAGGGAGGAGGAGGAGACAAACACACACACACACACACACACACACACACACACACACACACACACAGTTGGCGGAGGGAGAGAGAGAATATCTAGAGGCATCTGGAAGAGTTCAGAGTAGAGCGAAAAAGAAGCAGATTGGACATGGCTAGGGCTGTCTCTCTAGTGATAATGGCAGGCAGAGAAGCTTTGCTGATTTTTTTTTTCCGAGACAGGGTTTCTCTGTGTAGGCCCGAACTCACAGAGATCCGCCTGGCTCTGCCTCCCGAGTGCTGGGAGTAAAGACGTGCACCACCACTGCCTTGCTGATTTTATAGCAAGCAGAGAAGAGAGTGAGCTGGAATCTGGGACAGCCTGGGAGCTAGCATAGTGGAGGAAGTACAAAAAGCCAGAATGCTAGATAGCTTAGACTTTGGTATATGGATAGGCACAAGTATGCCACTAGATTGCCTTATGTCCTTTTTCCCAGAGGCAAAGGAAAATAATGAAAATGGCTCTTTTTAGTGGACAGAAAACCCATTTTACAGGTTCCTGAGGAATGCTACATGTGAGTTTTTATCTTTCTGCCAGCAATCCTTCTATGGTCCCCCTTAAGCTGAGCAGGTGATCATCTTGCACTAAACGTGTGCCTGCTCTTTGGGGTGCTTGGGCTTTTTCCTTTGAACCTAACAGTCTGAAAATGAAAAATAAAAACTATTTGTTTGTTTGTTTGTTTATGCTTCTCATATATGTTATATCCCAACCACAGTTTCCCCTCACTCTGCCCCTCACAGTGCCTTCTCTGACTTCCCCCAGGTTCATTCCTCCTCTGTTTCCCTTGTGAAAAGAGCAGGCCTCCAAAGAATATCAGCTGAATGGAGGCATAACAAGTTACAATAAAACTAGACACAAACCCTCACTTCATGGCTGGACAAGACAACCCAGTAGGAGGAAAAGGGTTCCAAGAACAGGCAATAGAGTTAGAGACACTCCCCACTTCCCCCATAGGAGTCCCACAAGAGCATCAAGTTATACAACCATGACATATATGCCGAGGACCTAGGTCAGACCTATGCAGGCTCCTCCTTGATTGTTACTTCAGTCTCTGTGAGCCCTCATGAGCCCTGCTTAGCTGATTCTGTGGGCCATATTCTTATGACATCTTCCTCTGCCTCCTATATCCCCCCCCCCCTTCCACAGGGTTCCGTGAGCTCCGTTTAATGTTTGGCTTAAGTCTTTGCTTCTGTTTCTGTAAGTTGCTGGATAAAGCCTCACTGATGATTGGGCTAGGCTCCGATCTATGAGTATAGCAGAATATCATTAGGAATAATTTCTTTGACTTTTTTTTTTCTTGGCCAGTTGTGTTCAGTAACTTAAAAAAAGGTCTGTTATTTTACTTGATTGCTTCTTCTGGATTTTAAAATAAATCTTAGATATTTTGGAGATAATAAAACTATGTCTAAAAACTTGTCAGGTCCAAAGGAAAAATCCATTTTTCCAAATTCCAAAAGACAGAGGACAAATGGTTATCTGTGATGCCTATTAGCATACCAAAGTGCATGCTGACTTCCAGGCTCCCTCAGTATCACAAGTACCTGTAACACATTTCAAAACCCATGCTAGTGTCCTGGCTCTTCTTACCTCCTTGCCACCCTAAACTCCTTCCAGCCCAGCTACTGATTCTCCTTATAATCCTATTATTTCTCTCTCTCTCTCTCTCTCTCTCTCTCTCTCTCTCTCTCTCTCTCTCTCTCGTTCTATCTCTTTCTCTCTCTCCTGCTATTTCTCCCTCCTTCTTTTTCTGTCTCCTCTGCACTCTCCCTCTTTCTATGTTCCTCTATCTCTCCTTTACTTCGTTTCTGCTCTGCTGTCTTCATGACCAGGTCCAGCCTGTTTGCCATGTTCAGTTTACTTTCTTTTCTCTCTGCTCTGGATTCTGGCTGTTCTCTCTTTCATATCCACAGTAAAAACCTTCTCTAAAACATACCATGGAGAGGTCATGGATCTGCCTGTACACGACTTATAACCTGATGTTATTTTATAAATACTTGTAAAGCCTTGCATCTGGGACCTCTTTAAGGTACTTATAGCTTGCATTAAAGCCTTATTTCCAAATGTTTGAAAGCACTTTTCCCAATTTCCTGAAATAGATGATCAGAACTATTAATTATGTGTAACTAAATTCTCTCCCTGTACTTTTTCTTTTAGGAGAAATTGTCATCTGGGAGATGTTCTATACAAGTTAAGAAACAGACCTTAAGTATATTTTAGACACAGCCACACAGTGGAATATTAGCACAGTTCTGAGTTCAAAGCTAATTTTGGAAAGCTCTATCATTGTTATTCTTCATTCCAAAGGAGAAAATGGAAACAATCCATTCTTTCAGTCATCCCTCCAAACTCCATTTCCTATCACTCTTTCCAATTCTTGCTGTTTCTCCTGGCAGAGCCATCATAATTTCTTACTCTGCCTCACTCTCCAGTGTCCTTTAAACACCACAGTTAATCTATTTTAACTCATTTTCCCCTGCCAACCAAGGTGATATTTCTAAAACCTTAAATTAGATCATATTATCTCCTTGCTTGTAGCACTTCAATTACTTCACTGTGCCTAGAGTAATAGCTACCTTCCAAATAATTTAAAGCACCAGGAAATCCAAATCCACTGAGCTAACCAATCGATATCGACAGTTGATGGATGCTCAGTAATGGTGCCACTCATTTCTACACTAACTGCTCCAATAAGCAGTAACAAAATTCAGTAAATAGTGCCCAGTAGGCAATTATTTTTTACTTATGTACAATATCCACATGTGTTTGGATGGCAGCTTCCTGTCAGTTCAGTGATGCTTTTGTTCCCTGAGTGCTCAGAGATCCTTAACCTGGACAATAGGCTTTAAGTCAGGGCAGGAAAACAAATAGAGAAGGACCATAGGGAGATGAGTTATATGCATCAGATAGTTCAAACTGTTTCCTCCCTTAAAACTCATGTGAATGCTCACTGGCATGGTAATGCAAACTTCAACAGTGTTGAGAAATAAGCTCAAGTGGGTTGTCCACACCTTAAGAATTTGATATTAATTTGAACTGATTTTTGATATGTAAATTGACATATCCTAATATAGCTATAATTACAATATTAAACCATATTAATATATCAATTATAATATTGTTTTTGTTATTACTAATTGTTATTGATAGAACATTGTAAAAACTTCACTGATATTTATGAGAAAGGGATTTCTGATCTTGAACTCTTATACTAAGACCTTGACTTCCTTACCATAGGCAAACTGCAATGGAATAAACTTTGCTTTTATTTTATTTTATTTTTTTTGTGGGGTAGAGGATCCCACCTCTCCACATTGTCTATTCTTGAGCACAATTGAAAGAGTTAGAGAAATGGCCTAGTTGATAAAGTGCCATTAGTGTAAGGATCAGGACCTGGATTCTGATCCCCAGGACCCATGTGAAAACAACACAATGTATACTTGTGATCTCAGTACTGAGGCAGGTGGAAAGACAAAAGGCGTATCTTATTTGCTAGCTTAACTGAATTGATGAACTCATGTTCAGTGAGGAACATTGCCTTGAAAAATATAAGGTTGGAAATGACCCCAAAAGGCACACAATGTCTACCACTGACATGATATACATGGTCATCTGCACAGAATTGTGTATGCACCCACATGAATACATTCATAACACACGCCCACACAAACAAATATATCATACACAGATAGATAGAAAGATAGATAGAGATTGTGGAATCTATGATTCTTGCAGATCCCTCTTTCTTCAAGAACTAGGATGAGACGAAAAGGAAAAGAGCTTTATGTGTCCAATATCCTCTTTTAAATCTCCTACCAAATAATGCAACCTTGGTGGAAGAATCAATAGTTAGAGATAAGGAAGGAGAACAGGCTGGATTGTAATGTCTGAAAGGCTTTGCCCCAAATCCCAAAATTAGCATATGCAAAAACTCAGATCAGCTGAACCCAGTCACTGATGGTAGTGTAGAGGCAGTGTAGAGAGAAAAAAGTGACTTATGGCTCATTCTAATACTAAAACACTTGGCCCCTAAGTGGAGATTTAAGATGCTAATTAAATGTATAATGTTTTAACTTTTATTAGTAATTACATGTAATAGAGAGAAAACCCACATTATGCAAAGAGTCACAAAGCACATTCTATGTGATACTAAAACCTCCTCTATTCTTTATGCAGTGAGCTACTGATCTTTGTTTTTGCTCCTGGCCACTTCTCTTGGAACTGTACCTATTTTGTTTTTATAAATATCTTTGTTTCATGCTGATTTGCTCAATTTGTTATCAGGTGGTACAAGAACCAGGAGCCATCTGAATTCTGATATTGGCTAATATCAGAGAGACACTTGAAGTCTTAGATGGATAGATGGCCATGCACAGGGGTGGACACTTTGAGTAGGAAGTATTTACACCTTTTTTTAAAAAATCAGTTTTTATCACCTATGTAGCTCGCTTTATGCAAAGCTTCCCATGATCCTTGGTCATTTGTGCTACCCACACTGACCTCTGTCAACCCCAGCATTCATTCATTTCATCATATGAAGTATTTTCTGCACAGTAGCTGGTTCTACACCACATATTCTGTCTATCTAAAGGAAACTCCATATTCCCAAATTCTGGGGTTGGACAAAAGTTGGCATTCCTCAGGAGAATCTGAAGTCAATTCCCCTCTAATAAAAGGAGTCATTTCCCTTATCACTAGCAGAAACTTCTGCTGATTCAGATGGCTATCTGTGGTATCTACCAGCATTCCAAAACACATGGAGGCCTCCAGACTCCCTCAGTATCACAAGTACCTGTTATACATTTCAGAGTCCATTCTAGCATCCTAGCTCTTCTCACCTTCTCCCCTGCCCTAAGGTCCCTCCAGCGCAGGAGTTTCCCTCCCCCTAGCTACTCATTCTCATAACCTTGCTATCTCAGCTATGCTGCCTCCTCCTTTTCTTTTGTTTGCCTCCAGTCTGTTTCCTCTTTCTTTACTTCCTCTCCCTTTCTCTGTTTTCCCTCATTCTCCCTCTCGCTGTGTCTCTCATTCCCTCTCTCTGCTCTACTCTTATTTCTCTCATGGCCACATCCAGTCTGTTGGTCATGTTCAGTAGGCTACTTTTCCTCTCTGCTCTGGACTCTTCCTGATGCCATTGACTGCTTTCTCTTTCATGTCTACAATAAAGACCTTCCCCTTTATTGGAAATGGTCTTTACCATGGAGCAGTCATGCTTAAACACTATCCAGCTGTAACACATTGCTCTTGCCTCTCTTTTCTGCTCCTTGTCATGTACTTGCCTCAATTCACACAACACTTTGTCAAAGTAGAATAATTTCTGTACAAGGCATGCTTCTTTCCTAATTTTTCCACCAAGTGTGAAAACTTAAGACTCTATCAATACCTATGGTAATGTTTGCTTTCTTACCCTTTAACTTTCCCACTGAACTGTCAGATTTATTCAACCCTTACATCTAGTAAAGAACAAATGTGCTTAATCACTAGTGATGAATATAAATGGAGTGAATCTGTGTACTAACACTTCTTACTAGCCTTAAATGCATCTGTTTCTCAGCAGTGGCTGTAACTGTGGAATGAACAGCACTTGAATCCCTAGATGTGTATCATTAGTTGGTGATTCCACCTCTCTCACCATGTAAAGCTTTTAGATTTGCCAGCAGAGTGGAATAGCCTTCATCCCTGAAGTCCTATCCATCATGAAAATCTGTTCAGCTTGAACTTTGAATGACATAAATTAGCATATCAAACTACTGGTAAGGCAGACAAAACATCATATTAAAATTCTATGAATGTAAAAGGAAAATGAAACATAAGGGACCCACTTTGGTGATATAAGTACCTTCAAGACCTTTTAAAACAAATGTAATTAAGATGAATATAAACACTAAATTATGTAAGTCAGAATTAATTAAACTACTAGAGGATAATTTATAGGCATTGCGAAGGTAACCCTAAGCACAGGGAAATGACTTTCTTAACTCTGCAACTGCTGTGGGGACCATGAATGCTGTTTAGGATCTACAGAGTCTACATTCTTTTTTTTTTTTTTTTTGAGACAGAGTTTCTCTGTGTAGCTTTGCGCCTTTCCTGGGACTCACTTGGTAGCCCAGGCTGGCCTCGAACTCACAGAGATCCACCTGGCCCTGCCTCCCGAGTGCTGGGATTAAAGGCGTGCGCCACCACTGCCCGGCCAGAGTCTACATTCTTATAGAAACATAATAAGAGAAAGAAAAAAATGGGTTAAAAATTCAGAACTTTTAACATATATATACATATATATATATATACATATATATGTTAAGCAATTATATTTTAAAATATATGCAATAAAAGTAAATCAGCTAATAATTAATCTGTGTAAACTGATAGATTTAGAATAATGATCTAATTAGTCTAAATAAAAGAGCATATACTGCTTTTGCAGAGAATCTATGCTCTGTTCCCAGTATCTACATCAGGTGGCTCACAAACACCAGTACCTCCAGCTCTAGAGGATTCCATGGCCTCTTCTGATATCCACTTGCACTCATGTATGCACTGTGCATATAATTAAACAAATAAAATAATTGACTTTGGAGGTGACTTTGCTGCTCTTTCAGAGGACCTGAGTTCCATTCCTAGGACCTATGTTGGGCAGCTCACCACTTCTTGTAACTTCCTCTCTAGGCAACCTGACACCTTCTCCTGGCCCCTGAGGCACCTGAACATGTGGTACACAAGTGTACACACACATACACACACACACACACACACACACACACACACACACACACACACACACACACACACTAAAAATAAACCTTGGAAAAAATAGATCTAAAAGGATCAACACTATCTCTAAGTGAATTATATAGTTATTAAATTGCCCAATATGTTGACAGTGTCTTGATGTGGAGAACAAGAATCTCATGAAATATCTCTACTTTGTATAGATTTTCTAGTTGTCAATTTATCATCCCAGAGGTTTCCTTCCTTCCTTCCTTCCTTCCTTCCTTCCTTCCTTCCTTCCTTCCTTCCTTCCTCCTCTTTGTCTCTGTCTCTCTCTTTCATTTTATCTTTATTGTTTAAATAGGAAATTTCTATGTAATATCAGGCCAAAGAGAAGGATTCCCCTTTTAGTAAATGCCATTATTCTTTTGTAAAAATTATTTTTTAATTGAAAGAGAATTACATAATTTCCCCCACTCCCTTTACT